GCAATCTTGCCCAAAGGACACAATCAACAGCAAGACCAAGATCCAAAATTCAAGATAATACCCATTCCAGTCTGTTTTCCAGGAGAATATAAAAAAGGCTACCCATCCCTAAAAGTCTCATTCATGACATGTCACATACATTAACAATGTTAACAAGAAAAAGGAGGTAGCAAGGGAAACAAAAATAATTAGTAAGGTAGGAAATTTCTCTTCATTTTCACTACTTAGAACTGTAAATGCAGAAACTATTTTCTCCCCCTTTGAAAAATCCACAAAAGCCAAGAGACAGAAAAGGCGGTGTGTGTGTGTGTGTGTGTGTGTGTGTGTGTGCCTGTATGGTGACTTTCGTTCAAAAAGTCCTACGTAAATCCCAGTTCACCTATCTGCCTAAGGTAACAAAACAAGTCCCTGGTGGCTCAACCTCATGGGGACGCATGGCTGGGCTGCGAACTTATGCACATACTCAATAAAGTAATCACTGTTTGCAATTATTACTAGAAGAAAACATGAGTAATAACCTGAGGCTGAGATTTTTAATACAGAATGCTAGATTGTGCTTTATTTGGGGGTAAATACTTCAATTATCTACCTCAATACTAAGAGCAGGTTGCCTAAAATATTTACAAATCCTCTTTGCTGACACCTCCCCCCCCCCACTAAAGCCCATAAACTGGGGATCATTCATCTTTTCATAGAGTTCTAATGCTTGTAACTGTTTAGTACCCCAGGCTAGACTCAAAGTGCCTTGGCAGAAGCTAAGTCTTGTTCACTTCTAATCATTCATTTAACATCCAATTGCTGTGTCTGGCACTGATCTAGGTCCTGAGAACATAGCAATGAAAAAATTAAGCCCCTGCCCCATTAGAGCTGGGTCTATGATTAACTTATATAGCCAAACAAGTTGACAAAAACATTAAGTACATAGCAGTTAGCAAAAAGTGCTTTTTGGGGGGGGGGGTTCTTTTTGAGACAGGGTCTCCCTGTAGCTCCAGCTTTCCTGGAACGCACTATGTAGACCAGGCTGGCCTTGAACTCACAGAGATCTGCCTGCCCTGCCTCCCGAGTGCTGGGATTAAAGGCATGTGCCACCATGCCCGGCTGTAAACATTTAAACTTGCCTTCATGATTGTTAAGAATAAATGTATTTTTTATGCTTCTCACTTACTTTTGGCCTGAGAAGAGGTTTCTAGGGCAAGGGAGCATCTACTTGGAACAACAGATGCACTCTTATTAACAGGCAATTACATATGGAACAAATATAACAAAGCCTGAGAAGCTGTTATAAAACAGCATATGAGCGCAAGTCAGTGGAAAACTAACTAGGGATCCTGTGCTGTAAAGCTTGGAAACACAGAAGGAACTACAGGCAGTACTGAAGTAAATCTTTAAATTACTTGACATTAAGTGAATTTGAGAATATATGCCATCAGGTAAGTCACATATTTGCTAGTTGCTTGAAATTTTATAGGAAAAGCCAACACAATGAAAGCACACAAACACACTAAAAGATTTAAAAATCGAGGAAGAAAAAAGAATGTCTTCAAAGAAAAATTACTGCTGGACAAGATGGCTCACACATTTAATACAAGCA